CAGCGTTGACAAAACTGATGAAGAGCAATGAGCGAAGAGGAAGAAATTACGGGTGCAGAGGGAACAGAGTGTTAAGAACGAAAGTCATCTTGATAATTATTTAAAACATCTCATCCCTGTCCGTGCTAATTAGTCATAAAGAAAGAGTCAGCCGATTCATTTTCCGCGATTCAGTAAATAATTGAGGCATCCCAAGCCGAGTTTTTGTAATTACCTTAGCAATGAATGGCCGTAAACATCGTATGGCAGCCACAACACCAAAGTATTCACAGAGGAGCAGCATTATCCGATTCAGCAAGCGATGCCGATGGCTCGATGGCTTCTTTGTTGCCAAGATAGATGAGCTGCATGATGATATATGAGAGGATGAAGAAAACAACACCAAACATGAAGATCATTGCATCACGCATCGGATATGGATGAACGGTGAGGAAAAGCCGGAACTGCTTAGCTGCCCATACACTCTCCACCCATGTCGAATGCACTCCTGACTGCATATTGTAGTCTGAAAGTCAAAAGATATTCGTGCAAGCGCAGTTCGTGGCACAAGCTCACTGCACATACGACACTCAGTAAGTTCCTTCGATAATGATTCAAACATATTTTAGCAACCAAGCGAAACATCGGACACTTGCACAGTGAAAATGCTACCTGCCTATGATAAACTGTGGTATTTCTTACACTTAAATCAACTGTAACTCGTAATTTGATCTTCAACTCCCAGTCGGTAAAGTATCTCACCAAGCTCTAAAAGCAGAAACTTTTAGAATGAAATGATGATCAAAAAAAAAACACGGACATCTCGAAATGGCTCAAGCCCAGCAAAGTGTTTCTACTGGTAGAACCACTGAGCAGGGAATCCTTTCAGCACACGAAAAGAACATCTAGATCTCGAGGAAGCTGACCAACAGGCGAAGTTTTGTTAGTCAAACAAACTAGATTATTTGCCAGATGCGTAAATAGAGGGTCGGATTAAATTATAAAATTCCGAACAAAAATCCGGTGATGGGTTAAACTGCAGAACAAGGATAATGTTTGAAATATTGCCACTACTGTGACGTTTCCTTGTACCACGGAGCTTTTTTAAAACCAAAATCCGAAAGATTCTTTCACCTCCAAATTCACAAACCTTCGTCTGCGAAAGCCGGAGATTGAGCATCCGTTAAATAGAGGGAATTTCGATAACATGTGAATTTCTCCTCCTCTGGATCATACTGCCAAGTATAATGGTAGACCTGAACAATTTTTGCTCAAAAC